TGGCCATTCTGCATGCTCCATCGAGATAGGTCAAAATTGAGCTGATGACACGGTGTGTGCTGTGGCCTTCCCTCAAGGTAGATTCACAGAAGGAAGTGCGCAATCGCATTCAGTATCAAGGGGGATTGCGTCTCAGTGGCCACACCGAATCGTGCTTTCTCGGTTTCCAAGTCGCTCTTTTACAAAGGCATTGTGCATTTGCACTGTCTCCGACCTCCATTTCGTGATAAATGCATCAAGTTGGGGAAGTATGTCGGTGGTGAGAATCACATTTGCAGAGCAGCTAGCCGTCCCTTTGTTCTCTATTCAAGGCTAACTTATGATTGGAAGCATGTAATTGATTGACACTGATTGTAGGGACAACCATTGTAGGTAATAGCAATAATTGGCAGTGTCACCACTTCCGAAGCAGCATCTGCTACGTATAAGGTAAATAGCACTCCCGATTCCCTTCTTCGGTTAGTCAATTTTCAGTTCTACGCCGTCTCAGCACATGCTTCCCTTACTCCTCCATCTATTTTGAGACCACGCCTTCGTACTGCAAACCGGTATAAGCGTTCACCCCCACCAGATGAAGTGGAGGTCATTTCTGTTGTATTTACATGTGCAGAATGAAGTGGATTCCACCGTCATGCCTTACTGGTTCTGCAGGTAGTGCTCTGAAGTTGATCGCATGGCCACGCCGACCCAGTGCGTGGTGCAGTGCAGTAGTAGTAGTAGTAGTGGAGAGAGGTCGTTGTTTCCACGCAAGTGCAGAAGATGGTTATAACAGCCTTAGTGATTTTGATTAGGTAAACTCCAACATAGGGAATCTTTTGTCCTCTGCTATCCACTGCATTGTTTCTGTGTATTCTTATCCCCAGGGGGAGTGCTCCCTACTGCACTGACAAAGAGATTGTCGGTTTGTGAATACGTGCCAGAATGTGCCTGAGTAATGTGTGGGGAGGAAAGAATCCTCCTAAAAACTCTTAAGCTGGGACAATGCAAGTGCGTTAGTGGAAGTGCGTTTTGCTATGTCTCCGGCATCATTGGAAGTGACTTTAAGCCTCTGAATGGATTCATCGTAGACCACTTAGCCGGATTAACTGTTACAGCTCACTTGGCACTTCTTTGCGTTACGGCATTGAAAAAGGTCTTCTTATCCCCCGAAGGAAAGTGCAGTCTTCTGTACTGCCGAAGGAAAAGTTGCATTATGAATTCGTACAAAATTGTGTTCGCGTAACGTGTGGGAAGTGAAGAATCCTCCTCAAAACACAAGCCGGGACAACGCAAGCTAGCTAATGCATGTGAGATTTGCAATGTTCTGGACATTATTGGAAGTGACTTTGAGGCTATAAACGAATCCATGGCAGACCACTTCGCTTAGTGAACCATTACAGCACACTTGGCACTTCTTTGCGTTGCAGCATTCAAGAAGGTCTTGTTACACACCTCACATGTAATTTAACACATTTTACTCTCCTCCCACAAGTGAACTTTGTTTTAATATGTTCATCTACTTTGATGACATTACCACTCATTCTCATCGTCTGATGTGGAGTCACCTTGCAATCACTGCCCTTGAAAATAGCAAATTGTGCATCCTTGTCACAGGCATCTCAGCAATGTACGGACATTTGACAGAATAGTTTTTATGGTAGTTTTCAGTGTTGTAAAATGTATGAAGGCCAAAAAACACTCAATGTTTATTGGCACCTCTTCATCGGGTTGGTGGTTTGGAAATGATGCCTTGGGGCGAATGGTATCTTTAATGCGATAGATTGTGTGAAGTTTAGATGAAACCTTTCCCCTTCTCACTCAATGCATTGTGATAAATAAGGAATAATTTGAATTAGCTCCGGAAACCCGCACCAACATGCTCTCATCTAAACCTTACTCTCCCTAGTAAAATTGTCGCTCATATTTGTTACATTTCCATGCAGGTGATCAATCATTTGGTCAATGCACAATCTGTCACAATGGGATTGGAAAGAGCAGCAGGAAGAAAAGAACAGTTTTGTTAATTGGTCGAAAGAACTAGCTGACTGGAGCATGACTTTCACACTCAAGGTACATCAACTTCAGCGAGCAAGATTTACTTACTTCCACGAGCAGTCCAGATTTCAGTATTCCACTGAAGATGCCCAAATTCATCTTTCCACGGAGAGGCACACTGAGCGGAGCAAGAAATGAGGCGACAGTTGCCTACTCAGTGGAGAATGCGTGCAGTCTACACCATCATCAGCAAGTGCATTGTTATGCTTGAACAAGTTGGCGCAGGGACACGGTACCAACACATGCTAGAAAGGAGGTCAAGTGGTGTGCCCACCACACTCTCTGCATTGTCACTTACGGCTAATCACAGACAGACAGACAGTCGGGTTTGCAGACAATGTGTACCCACTACGTGGCAGTTGGTGGTGCTCAACAAGAATTGGAACACCACCCACAGGTGAGCTGGTGCATGTGGTTATGATGTGCGGCTACACGTTAAGGGTTACTTCCCACTGACTCATTTTGCTGCTGACATTTCCTCCATCTCAATAGCCTTAGGAGCAAATCGTTGACGTAAAGAAACGAGAATATCAAATAAACATTGTTAAACTAATCTTTGTTTGAAGCAGTCAAAAGTGAAGTGTTTGAATCGTATTTTATTTCAAGGTACTATCGATATTTGAATTCGCTAGAGGTTGTGTCATTTGATTCTAAAATAATGGTATTTGAGTTAAACCCCTGCTCGGGAAACAAGCAAGTGTTTGTAAAGAATGGCGTTAAACCATACCTTGTATCTTCAGATCGTCCATTTTTGGCACTGCTTAGATACGTCTAACGAATTTCCTTAGCATTGTAGTTAACTGGATGAATGTTTCTATTTCTAATCTAATCGGTGATCCATAATTAACCTTCGTTCACTCCGCGTACTGACTATGGGCATTTCATTATGAGAGGACGGGTAATTTAGTCTTAACTCTTGAGTAGCATATGACAGGCATCAACAACTTTAAGCTGTGGTGCTAAATTACTCTCTTCCGAGGAGCGTTAGAGAGCGCCTTGATAATTTCGCTTGGAAGACCATCACCCACTCATTCTGCTCGTGCTGTAACACTTGACATCTTGTATTCATTGGCCATAGTGCGCGGAGATTTGACCATTCCGTTGTTAGGGCAAAACAAAACTTGCATGCATTAGGCGCCTCTGCTATGTTGAACCATTTGAATTGCAGAACTTTGGCCCGTTTTACCTCATAGAAGTGAACCATTTTGTGGCAGCGAAATTGGACCGAAAATGCCAAAAGTGAGGTAAAAGTGACAAATTTGTGTATTTGACTGTCAACAACTTTTTACTATGGGAGGTCATATGGTTGTCGCAAATTGAATCCGACTGATCAGCGACTGGTGCATTTTCTGCATAATGGGAGCCTGTAGTGGGAATAGATTTGCTGTGTAAGCACAGGTTACTGGCTGTGATATTCCACATGAATAAGACATTTGATAATTTGCACCAACTCACGCAAATGTTCCGGCATGAACTACAGCCACGCAAACGAAGATGATGCCAAGAGTTGCTGAAGTCAGGCCAGATGTGCTAGTCGAGACAGTGATTTCTTCCTCTCTTACGTAAAATGGCAACAAAATGAGAGCATCGCTTGAAGTAATAAGGCCTGTTAACTGTAAACCATGCAGAATCGGGCATCAGCAAGTGCCATGTAGTAGGTAGTTCAATATGTGCTCTTAAAGCATGCGGCAGGAAATGTCAGCAGGAAAATGAGTTGATGAGAAACACCTCTCGATGTGGAGTTGCACATCATAATCACATGCACCAGCCTACCAGCAGGTAGTGTGGTAATTTTTGAGAAAACTTTGAACAAGTTGCCTTCACCCCTACGAACCTCCAGTGTGAGATCGTTTGATTTGTTGGGTTGCAATCCCTCAAGAGTGGTTACTCTTTGTGAGAAATTTGCAATTTTCCAGATCTCGATGCCAGATAAATCAGCTGCCACCGCTGTTGGTTTGATTTGATCTGCGTTGCTGACACTTACATTTGAGGTGTCGCAAATTATCTAGCAGGTGTGAGAATCCAAGTGACTCCATTGAAGGTGATACAGAAGCGAGGGTAATTTTCTCCCTTTCCCTTTTTTCGTCAGCACTTCTGCGAACAAGCCTTGAAAAGGTGATTCCAGCCAAAGTGGTTCCAGCCATCTCCATTGAAGCATCAAGATGCAAATTCATAATCAAACATGTGTGTGTAAAGTATGTTGAAGGAGCAAACCTCTTACACAACTGAAAATACTCTTTGATTTGTGCCAGTAAATTTCACGAGTGGAAGTTGCATGCGATTTGACTCAGTGGTTGTTGATTACCTTATGACCGTATGATGGTTGAAGGTAGAGCATTAAAAAGAAGGAAAAAATTCACCGATATAACAGTCACCAATATATGTCAAGTGCTTCTTCGTGTATGCTGATCAGAGTGAGATGTTGGAAGGTCTCTTACCACGATCTCCCCTGCATCCAGTCGCCAAAATGCAGGTGACGAACACAATGATCCCGAATTGAACCGCCATTTCTACTCCACTCTACAAATGCTCCACATTTACCACCCATGTCAACCACATCAGTCTGTTAGATATCGTGTTCTTGACCTGCAAGGCGACCTCTCCACTAATTGATTTATTCAATGAAAGGTATTAGATGTGGATCTGCTTAAGTCATCTCACCCTCAACTTCTGCACTCACCAGCATCCACGTGACGAAATGAATAGTCGGCCTACCTTTTTTACCACTTTGAACCTACGGGCATGTTACCAATTCCTGTCAACGTAGTCAAATGATATTTGTTTCGCATTCCTTGTTGCTACATTCACAATGCTTACTTGATTGCACTCACGATGATGTGTAGAAGTGGACGTGTATTTGGAAACGTGGCACATCTGACGTCGACTTCAGCTTCGTGGACGCGCTGTATTATTACTCTGCGGTGAACTGAACTGCAGTGCATTTCAATGTGATGTGACATGGCGATGTACACTGCATTTAACGACGGAAGCGTGCGTGGCTGTCTGGACTCGGACTTGTTATAGGCGGCACTGATATGACCTGCTACACTCCCGACGGTCCAGAGTATGTCGAAATGGCAATTATGGTTGATCCATTTCAAACAGAAACCTGATTGAGCTACTGAACCTTACCTGCTTACTTTCCGACGCACCGTTTTACATTTTGAAATCCTTTTGGAATTGCTCCAAGTAAGCACATTCTTGGATTTTGCTCATCTACTTCCATGTCGCCATAGAAAATGATGTGAAGGCACTGTTGAATTCGCCACGTCTAAGTGGCGATGCTCTAGGGTTGGGAGAAAGGACAAGAGTACGAGGAGACAAATATCCTACTCATCTCTTATGTGATGTTCTTTGCACTAATTCACATCTCTGAAGGAAGATGCGACAGTTTTGAAGTGTACCAATGACAGTGTCGTGTTGTGGAGACCACTAAGAGCGAAACGGTACACATTGCAGTGGACGAAAAAGTTGTCACATTTTTGCTTTCCTTCTTTTCTTTTTCAACTGCTTGTACACTCTTTTACACTCACGCCACAACTCACGCATGCTTTGCCCCGCAGCTGATTGACTAACTGAATGATCGCTTCATGATTTTCCTACCCGTCTAAATGCCTAACGGAATGTCATATTTATTGAATGACTTCTCGACTTTTTCTTGCTTACTTATGAACTCTTTTACTGTTTGACTGATTGCCAATAAAGTTACCTCGTTTTTGAACCGACAGTTGCGTAATGCCACTGAGGATTGATGCGTTCCGAGTACGAGGCAATGCCGTCGCACTTGCCCTTGGATGCTTACCACTCTGATGTGATGACCAGCTCTTCAATTTGTGAAGTCTGTGAACCGATGAAAGTGGAGTAGATGCATGGATACGCTGAATTGGTGAATCCATGTCGATGGAACTGCAGTGTCGGAGAGGGTGCAATGGCCATAACGGAATATGAGTGACCAAATTATATCGGGGGAAATAATGAGGGTTTGTTGAGAGAAGAAGGAGGAGTTGGGAATTGTGAAGGTGAGATTGGGAAGAAATAAGGAGAGGAGGAGCTGATGCAGGAGAGAATTTTCTGGTGAGAGTGTAAAGATATAGTGTGAGGTGGTGGAGAGGAGATGATAGAAGGAGCTGAGGAGAAGGCGCAGTGGATTGTTGAGGTGCGAATAAACGTCACTATTCTAAATGGGAAGGGTCATGTGGGAAGAGCAGGGGTCAGTTGTACGTGAGGTGAGATTGCGGATGACGTGTTGACTCAGGCAATTGGTTTAGCAAGCTGCGTTTGAATCCTTGAATTCCCCAAACTACTTTACTACTGTGTGTTCGGACTACCTCTTTGGTCATAGGAGTAAATTCCCTCGTAGTATGCCTCAACCATTTTAGTCGTCCAAATTGGAATCTATTTCGACACAGCATAGCCAGACCAAAATATCTGGCACTCATTTGGGAATGGAGGATGCCACAAGTGGACTAGATGGAAATGCCCTATAGACATTTGATGGGATAGCAGTTAATCGCGATGTCTTAGTGAAGTTGGCCGATCTCAGGTCAAACTCGGTACCCGCAGTGGTCATTTCTCGGGAGGGAAGGGAGTCTGCTAAACAAGCATGAAGTAATAAATGTTATCATTGTCTTATGGGATTGTTTCATTTATTAATGTAGGACGTACTGAAGGGGATTCGGCAATGCCACCTCCCTGCCTATCTCTCTACCTGTCCTTTGTTGGGGCCAATCTATAGGTCGGGGAGATGTTTAGGGGCGGGTCCAATCAACTCAGTGTAGCCTAAGAGGATAAGTGTTGTACTCAGTGCAGACCTTCCTGTTGGCTTACGCTGAATGTATTAACGCCAACGCATCTCTGTAACTTATTAGCCGCAACTCCATCAGAACATTCGACGTGCCGTTGAAGAAGAACCACAAACTTTTGCATAGCATATGGCACTGGGTAATGTTAAAGGTAGTAGAAGAAGAATGGAGAGGAGAGAAACTTGGAGACAAACCAGTGAACTGTGTGGAACAGGCAGGATAGTTTCTTCAAAACGTAAGTAAGGAAGTGTTCTACAATCGCAAAAATGGAGTTTAATTTAATAAAGGTTTACCCGTGTTCTTCTATTAGGAGGACTGTTTGTTTGTTGTCCCAGAGCGCATGGAACTATTTCTCAAATTCCTCACTTATGGTGCTTCCTTTATTCGTCTTTTCAACTTCTACCATCGACATCACTCCAGAGCTGGATAAGCGGCTTTCAACTCTTTGGCTTGAGAGATACGGCTAATGCTCACACAGATCTCTGTGTTTTATACTATTCCCATGCCTCTTACAAAGCCGAAAGAAATACATCAACTGTATGCATGAAATCAGGGTCTTTTCCACTTTATCCATTGATATATTGAAACCATATTTCTTTTATTGTTCAATGGTAGTCAATACATGTCTTAGATCTCAGTACATTTCATAGTATTTTCATTAAAACAAAGAGTAAAGTTTGGCGCTCCAGATTTGTGACCTCTATTGTTTGCAAATAGTCGAGTCCATATAGCACACCAGGACATTCCCGAAGACGAATGAAGACATGTTATTTGAGCTGAATATGTATTTCCGACCTGTTGAGTGAATTGGGCCTACTGGCGTGGCTTGGAGGCCAGGCCGTCATGCAGAGATGCAATGGTAGTTTTTCCAGTTACTAAAACCGAGCGGTATAAGATCGAGCTACGTAGTACATACCCCATTCCTTTTTTGGGCTTCCTCTTTGATGCTATCCCTGATTAACCTCACACGTCAGCCGGCACCTTGTGATCGGTGCTGTAAATTTTCATGCGTCATTGTCTCTACTCGTCAATTCTGCTGCATCTAGAGTCTCGTTTCGCTGCAGAATGCCGTCATTATTGTATTCGGAAAGTCTGCGGTAGAGAAATGAATTTCTTTTGGCAGTTCCAGACTGTTGCGCCGAATGAGTTTTGTGAACATTGTTAATGCTAGCAGACACGGGCAAGATGCTTTGGAGGACTCGTTGAATTAACGCACGATCTTGAGAACGAGATTCCCACATGCCCTTGAGTGTGTTGTGCTCAAATATCTGTCCTTAATTAAGTGTGCATTGTGATCAAATGGATCTTAAAAAGCGTGGCCATTGCTGATACCTGAAGTCAAAGTCATGTCTCAGTGGCCACACCGAATCGTGCTTTCTCGGTTTCCAAGTCGCTCTTTTACAAAGGCATTGTGCATTTGCACTGTCTCCGACCTCCATTTCGTGATAAATGCATCAAGTTGGGGAAGTATGTCGGTGGTGAGAATCACATTTGCAGAGCAGCTAGCCGTCCCTTTGTTCTCTATTCAAGGCTAACTTATGATTGGAAGCATGTAATTGATTGACACTGATTGTAGGGACAACCATTGTAGGTAATAGCAATAATTGGCAGTGTCACCACTTCCGAAGCAGCATCTGCTACGTATAAGGTAAATAGCACTCCCGATTCCCTTCTTCGGTTAGTCAATTTTCAGTTCTACGCCGTCTCAGCACATGCTTCCCTTACTCCTCCATCTATTTTGAGACCACGCCTTCGTACTGCAAACCGGTATAAGCGTTCACCCCCACCAGATGAAGTGGAGGTCATTTCTGTTGTATTTACATGTGCAGAATGAAGTGGATTCCACCGTCATGCCTTACTGGTTCTGCAGGTAGTGCTCTGAAGTTGATCGCATGGCCACGCCGACCCAGTGCGTGGTGCAGTGCAGTAGTAGTAGTAGTAGTGGAGAGAGGTCGTTGTTTCCACGCAAGTGCAGAAGATGGTTATAACAGCCTTAGTGATTTTGATTAGGTAAACTCCAACATAGGGAATCTTTTGTCCTCTGCTATCCACTGCATTGTTTCTGTGTATTCTTATCCCCAGGGGGAGTGCTCCCTACTGCACTGACAAAGAGATTGTCGGTTTGTGAATACGTGCCAGAATGTGCCTGAGTAATGTGTGGGGAGGAAAGAATCCTCCTAAAAACTCTTAAGCTGGGACAATGCAAGTGCGTTAGTGGAAGTGCGTTTTGCTATGTCTCCGGCATCATTGGAAGTGACTTTAAGCCTCTGAATGGATTCATCGTAGACCACTTAGCCGGATTAACTGTTACAGCTCACTTGGCACTTCTTTGCGTTACGGCATTGAAAAAGGTCTTCTTATCCCCCGAAGGAAAGTGCAGTCTTCTGTACTGCCGAAGGAAAAGTTGCATTATGAATTCGTACAAAATTGTGTTCGCGTAACGTGTGGGAAGTGAAGAATCCTCCTCAAAACACAAGCCGGGACAACGCAAGCTAGCTAATGCATGTGAGATTTGCAATGTTCTGGACATTATTGGAAGTGACTTTGAGGCTATAAACGAATCCATGGCAGACCACTTCGCTTAGTGAACCATTACAGCACACTTGGCACTTCTTTGCGTTGCAGCATTCAAGAAGGTCTTGTTACACACCTCACATGTAATTTAACACATTTTACTCTCCTCCCACAAGTGAACTTTGTTTTAATATGTTCATCTACTTTGATGACATTACCACTCATTCTCATCGTCTGATGTGGAGTCACCTTGCAATCACTGCCCTTGAAAATAGCAAATTGTGCATCCTTGTCACAGGCATCTCAGCAATGTACGGACATTTGACAGAATAGTTTTTATGGTAGTTTTCAGTGTTGTAAAATGTATGAAGGCCAAAAAACACTCAATGTTTATTGGCACCTCTTCATCGGGTTGGTGGTTTGGAAATGATGCCTTGGGGCGAATGGTATCTTTAATGCGATAGATTGTGTGAAGTTTAGATGAAACCTTTCCCCTTCTCACTCAATGCATTGTGATAAATAAGGAATAATTTGAATTAGCTCCGGAAACCCGCACCAACATGCTCTCATCTAAACCTTACTCTCCCTAGTAAAATTGTCGCTCATATTTGTTACATTTCCATGCAGGTGATCAATCATTTGGTCAATGCACAATCTGTCACAATGGGATTGGAAAGAGCAGCAGGAAGAAAAGAACAGTTTTGTTAATTGGTCGAAAGAACTAGCTGACTGGAGCATGACTTTCACACTCAAGGTACATCAACTTCAGCGAGCAAGATTTACTTACTTCCACGAGCAGTCCAGATTTCAGTATTCCACTGAAGATGCCCAAATTCATCTTTCCACGGAGAGGCACACTGAGCGGAGCAAGAAATGAGGCGACAGTTGCCTACTCAGTGGAGAATGCGTGCAGTCTACACCATCATCAGCAAGTGCATTGTTATGCTTGAACAAGTTGGCGCAGGGACACGGTACCAACACATGCTAGAAAGGAGGTCAAGTGGTGTGCCCACCACACTCTCTGCATTGTCACTTACGGCTAATCACAGACAGACAGACAGTCGGGTTTGCAGACAATGTGTACCCACTACGTGGCAGTTGGTGGTGCTCAACAAGAATTGGAACACCACCCACAGGTGAGCTGGTGCATGTGGTTATGATGTGCGGCTACACGTTAAGGGTTACTTCCCACTGACTCATTTTGCTGCTGACATTTCCTCCATCTCAATAGCCTTAGGAGCAAATCGTTGACGTAAAGAAACGAGAATATCAAATAAACATTGTTAAACTAATCTTTGTTTGAAGCAGTCAAAAGTGAAGTGTTTGAATCGTATTTTATTTCAAGGTACTATCGATATTTGAATTCGCTAGAGGTTGTGTCATTTGATTCTAAAATAATGGTATTTGAGTTAAACCCCTGCTCGGGAAACAAGCAAGTGTTTGTAAAGAATGGCGTTAAACCATACCTTGTATCTTCAGATCGTCCATTTTTGGCACTGCTTAGATACGTCTAACGAATTTCCTTAGCATTGTAGTTAACTGGATGAATGTTTCTATTTCTAATCTAATCGGTGATCCATAATTAACCTTCGTTCACTCCGCGTACTGACTATGGGCATTTCATTATGAGAGGACGGGTAATTTAGTCTTAACTCTTGAGTAGCATATGACAGGCATCAACAACTTTAAGCTGTGGTGCTAAATTACTCTCTTCCGAGGAGCGTTAGAGAGCGCCTTGATAATTTCGCTTGGAAGACCATCACCCACTCATTCTGCTCGTGCTGTAACACTTGACATCTTGTATTCATTGGCCATAGTGCGCGGAGATTTGACCATTCCGTTGTTAGGGCAAAACAAAACTTGCATGCATTAGGCGCCTCTGCTATGTTGAACCATTTGAATTGCAGAACTTTGGCCCGTTTTACCTCATAGAAGTGAACCATTTTGTGGCAGCGAAATTGGACCGAAAATGCCAAAAGTGAGGTAAAAGTGACAAATTTGTGTATTTGACTGTCAACAACTTTTTACTATGGGAGGTCATATGGTTGTCGCAAATTGAATCCGACTGATCAGCGACTGGTGCATTTTCTGCATAATGGGAGCCTGTAGTGGGAATAGATTTGCTGTGTAAGCACAGGTTACTGGCTGTGATATTCCACATGAATAAGACATTTGATAATTTGCACCAACTCACGCAAATGTTCCGGCATGAACTACAGCCACGCAAACGAAGATGATGCCAAGAGTTGCTGAAGTCAGGCCAGATGTGCTAGTCGAGACAGTGATTTCTTCCTCTCTTACGTAAAATGGCAACAAAATGAGAGCATCGCTTGAAGTAATAAGGCCTGTTAACTGTAAACCATGCAGAATCGGGCATCAGCAAGTGCCATGTAGTAGGTAGTTCAATATGTGCTCTTAAAGCATGCGGCAGGAAATGTCAGCAGGAAAATGAGTTGATGAGAAACACCTCTCGATGTGGAGTTGCACATCATAATCACATGCACCAGCCTACCAGCAGGTAGTGTGGTAATTTTTGAGAAAACTTTGAACAAGTTGCCTTCACCCCTACGAACCTCCAGTGTGAGATCGTTTGATTTGTTGGGTTGCAATCCCTCAAGAGTGGTTACTCTTTGTGAGAAATTTGCAATTTTCCAGATCTCGATGCCAGATAAATCAGCTGCCACCGCTGTTGGTTTGATTTGATCTGCGTTGCTGACACTTACATTTGAGGTGTCGCAAATTATCTAGCAGGTGTGAGAATCCAAGTGACTCCATTGAAGGTGATACAGAAGCGAGGGTAATTTTCTCCCTTTCCCTTTTTTCGTCAGCACTTCTGCGAACAAGCCTTGAAAAGGTGATTCCAGCCAAAGTGGTTCCAGCCATCTCCATTGAAGCATCAAGATGCAAATTCATAATCAAACATGTGTGTGTAAAGTATGTTGAAGGAGCAAACCTCTTACACAACTGAAAATACTCTTTGATTTGTGCCAGTAAATTTCACGAGTGGAAGTTGCATGCGATTTGACTCAGTGGTTGTTGATTACCTTATGACCGTATGATGGTTGAAGGTAGAGCATTAAAAAGAAGGAAAAAATTCACCGATATAACAGTCACCAATATATGTCAAGTGCTTCTTCGTGTATGCTGATCAGAGTGAGATGTTGGAAGGTCTCTTACCACGATCTCCCCTGCATCCAGTCGCCAAAATGCAGGTGACGAACACAATGATCCCGAATTGAACCGCCATTTCTACTCCACTCTACAAATGCTCCACATTTACCACCCATGTCAACCACATCAGTCTGTTAGATATCGTGTTCTTGACCTGCAAGGCGACCTCTCCACTAATTGATTTATTCAATGAAAGGTATTAGATGTGGATCTGCTTAAGTCATCTCACCCTCAACTTCTGCACTCACCAGCATCCACGTGACGAAATGAATAGTCGGCCTACCTTTTTTACCACTTTGAACCTACGGGCATGTTACCAATTCCTGTCAACGTAGTCAAATGATATTTGTTTCGCATTCCTTGTTGCTACATTCACAATGCTTACTTGATTGCACTCACGATGATGTGTAGAAGTGGACGTGTATTTGGAAACGTGGCACATCTGACGTCGACTTCAGCTTCGTGGACGCGCTGTATTATTACTCTGCGGTGAACTGAACTGCAGTGCATTTCAATGTGATGTGACATGGCGATGTACACTGCATTTAACGACGGAAGCGTGCGTGGCTGTCTGGACTCGGACTTGTTATAGGCGGCACTGATATGACCTGCTACACTCCCGACGGTCCAGAGTATGTCGAAATGGCAATTATGGTTGATCCATTTCAAACAGAAACCTGATTGAGCTACTGAACCTTACCTGCTTACTTTCCGACGCACCGTTTTACATTTTGAAATCCTTTTGGAATTGCTCCAAGTAAGCACATTCTTGGATTTTGCTCATCTACTTCCATGTCGCCATAGAAAATGATGTGAAGGCACTGTTGAATTCGCCACGTCTAAGTGGCGATGCTCTAGGGTTGGGAGAAAGGACAAGAGTACGAGGAGACAAATATCCTACTCATCTCTTATGTGATGTTCTTTGCACTAATTCACATCTCTGAAGGAAGATGCGACAGTTTTGAAGTGTACCAATGACAGTGTCGTGTTGTGGAGACCACTAAGAGCGAAACGGTACACATTGCAGTGGACGAAAAAGTTGTCACATTTTTGCTTTCCTTCTTTTCTTTTTCAACTGCTTGTACACTCTTTTACACTCACGCCACAACTCACGCATGCTTTGCCCCGCAGCTGATTGACTAACTGAATGATCGCTTCATGATTTTCCTACCCGTCTAAATGCCTAACGGAATGTCATATTTATTGAATGACTTCTCGACTTTTTCTTGCTTACTTATGAACTCTTTTACTGTTTGACTGATTGCCAATAAAGTTACCTCGTTTTTGAACCGACAGTTGCGTAATGCCACTGAGGATTGATGCGTTCCGAGTACGAGGCAATGCCGTCGCACTTGCCCTTGGATGCTTACCACTCTGATGTGATGACCAGCTCTTCAATTTGTGAAGTCTGTGAACCGATGAAAGTGGAGTAGATGCATGGATACGCTGAATTGGTGAATCCATGTCGATGGAACTGCAGTGTCGGAGAGGGTGCAATGGCCATAACGGAATATGAGTGACCAAATTATATCGGGGGAAATAATGAGGGTTTGTTGAGAGAAGAAGGAGGAGTTGGGAATTGTGAAGGTGAGATTGGGAAGAAATAAGGAGAGGAGGAGCTGATGCAGGAGAGAATTTTCTGGTGAGAGTGTAAAGATATAGTGTGAGGTGGTGGAGAGGAGATGATAGAAGGAGCTGAGGAGAAGGCGCAGTGGATTGTTGAGGTGCGAATAAACGTCACTATTCTAAATGGGAAGGGTCATGTGGGAAGAGCAGGGGTCAGTTGTACGTGAGGTGAGATTGCGGATGACGTGTTGACTCAGGCAATTGGTTTAGCAAGCTGCGTTTGAATCCTTGAATTCCCCAAACTACTTTACTACTGTGTGTTCGGACTACCTCTTTGGTCATAGGAGTAAATTCCCTCGTAGTATGCCTCAACCATTTTAGTCGTCCAAATTGGAATCTATTTCGACACAGCATAGCCAGACCAAAATATCTGGCACTCATTTGGGAATGGAGGATGCCACAAGTGGACTAGATGGAAATGCCCTATAGACATTTGATGGGATAGCAGTTAATCGCGATGTCTTAGTGAAGTTGGCCGATCTCAGGTCAAACTCGGTACCCGCAGTGGTCATTTCTCGGGAGGGAAGGGAGTCTGCTAAACAAGCATGAAGTAATAAATGTTATCATTGTCTTATGGGATTGTTTCATTTATTAATGTAGGACGTACTGAAGGGGATTCGGCAATGCCACCTCCCTGCCTATCTCTCTACCTGTCCTTTGTTGGGGCCAATCTATAGGTCGGGGAGATGTTTAGGGGCGGGTCCAATCAACTCAGTGTAGCCTAAGAGGATAAGTGTTGTACTCAGTGCAGACCTTCCTGTTGGCTTACGCTGAATGTATTAACGCCAACGCATCTCTGTAACTTATTAGCCGCAACTCCATCAGAACATTCGACGTGCCGTTGAAGAAGAACCACAAACTTTTGCATAGCATATGGCACTGGGTAATGTTAAAGGTAGTAGAAGAAGAATGGAGAGGAGAGAAACTTGGAGACAAACCAGTGAACTGTGTGGAACAGGCAGGATAGTTTCTTCAAAACGTAAGTAAGGAAGTGTTCTACAATCGCAAAAATGGAGTTTAATTTAATAAAGGTTTACCCGTGTTCTTCTATTAGGAGGACTGTTTGTTTGTTGTCCCAGAGCGCATGGAACTATTTCTCAAATTCCTCACTTATGGTGCTTCCTTTATTCGTCTTTTCAACTTCTACCATCGACATCACTCCAGAGCTGGATAAGCGGCTTTCAACTCTTTGGCTTGAGAGATACGGCTAATGCTCACACAGATCTCTGTGTTTTATACTATTCCCATGCCTCTTACAAAGCCGAAAGAAATACATCAACTGTATGCATGAAATCAGGGTCTTTTCCACTTTATCCATTGATATATTGAAACCATATTTCTTTTATTGTTCAATGGTAGTCAATACATGTCTTAGATCTCAGTACATTTCATAGTATTTTCATTAAAACAAAGAGTAAAGTTTGGCGCTCCAGATTTGTGACCTCTATTGTTTGCAAATAGTCGAGTCCATATAGCACACCAGGACATTCCCGAAGACGAATGAAGACATGTTATTTGAGCTGAATATGTATTTCCGACCTGTTGAGTGAATTGGGCCTACTGGCGTGGCTTGGAGGCCAGGCCGTCATGCAGAGATGCAATGGTAGTTTTTCCAGTTACTAAAACCGAGCGGTATAAGATCGAGCTACGTAGTACATACCCCATTCCTTTTTTGGGCTTCCTCTTTGATGCTATCCCTGATTAACCTCACACGTCAGCCGGCACCTTGTGATCGGTGCTGTAAATTTTCATGCGTCATTGTCTCTACTCGTCAATTCTGCTGCATCTAGAGTCTCGTTTCGCTGCAGAATGCCGTCATTATTGTATTCGGAAAGTCTGCGGTAGAGAAATGAATTTCTTTTGGCAGTTCCAGACTGTTGCGCCGAATGAGTTTTGTGAACATTGTTAATGCTAGCAGACACGGGCAAGATGCTTTGGAGGACTCGTTGAATTAACGCACGATCTTGAGAACGAGATTCCCACATGCCCTTGAGTGTGTTGTGCTCAAATATCTGTCCTTAATTAAGTGTGCATTGTGATCAAATGGATCTTAAAAAGCGTGGCCATTGCTGATACCTGAAGTCAAAGTCATG